GAGCCTCTCAGGGCAGGCGTTTGTGAATCTGTTAGAAAGTCTATCACTTAAATATCATTTGCCAGATGGGTGTAAACTCATGTGTCAAATAAGGAAGTCTGGGCAGCGATGGGCTCCAAGTGCCAAGGACGCAGCACCTGGCTTTACCGCCAGGCTTCGGCAGGTGGAGAAATGGAACAGAGTGGTCGCCAGGGAGGGGCTTTCCCTTCCAGGTGCTCAGAGCAAAGTACAGGCCATGCCCAGCAGTGACGGATGAGTGATGGCAGGCCTGGTCACTGAGGCTGGCGTTCTATTTACAAACGTGTTACTGTGAGATGTGCAGACCACAGAGAGAAGTTCCTTTTCAGGCCAAGCAGCAGGCATTTCTAAACATGGCAAGAAGCCCTTATAAACGACAGGGCTGCTGACACGCAGAGTCCATTGCCTTGCTGCAAAGATGAGAAGCCGTGTGCTGCGGCATGGTGCTGTGCTGGGAGTCACAGGGCCAGGGCTTCTGCAGACCAGGCAGGGCTGCTGTGATGGAAACAGAGCAGCCAGCTCGAAAGAGAAACGCTAGGCTTTTAGTCAGCCCGGCACATTGAGGCAGGCGTGAGCGTAGCACAGACAGTGCAGGCGTCGGTGGGGGTGTGCATGGGCCCTGAGGAAAGACTGGCCAAGCCGTGGCGTCTTATATTTTATGCTGTTACTTTTCTAAACACTTTCTGTTTAGAGTAAACACTATATACTGGAATTTGAGCAATAGTCAGAGTTTGATTCATGAGACCTTGCTCCCGCCCGCTGCAGGAATGCAGCCCAGCCCCTGGAGAAAATGCTCTCAGCACAGAAACATGCATATCTGGCCGCTGGAGTCCTCAACAGCAGCACCATTTTTAACATAAAAGTCCAAGTTTCCATTTCCCAATTTCCTAGGAGTCTCTTTGATGGAGGGGATACAGCTGCAGAATATGGTTTTCATGCAAGGATGACATTCATTCTCTGAGGAACCTTTGCAAGAATCTTTACTTCTGATTCGAGTACCTCAATACCATCATTTAATGTTAGCAGGAATCCGACAGCACTGGGTCTCCACCCACAGATATCCAACCCCCCTAAAGTGTGAGGTGGCCACCCTGCTTTTAGCATTTACAGTGTAATGAAAGAGCCAGAGCGTAATGGGCTGCATGAAGCGGCTCTGGAGGCAGATGCCTCTGGGGCACTGGGAACCACCTTCAGAAAAACCAAGCAGCATGGTTCCCAGCCGGCGCACAGGAGCGGGAATGACCTGTCAGTGGGGGCGGGACTCACCATCTGCCAATCACTGTCCAGGCGAGGCCCGCCAGGCCGCCCACCAGCAGGGCACCCAGCACGATGGAGACCAGGGACGCCTTCGGGAGCCTCCCAGAGTCTGGAGCGAGAACGCAGCTGGTCAGTGGGCCTGCCCAGCCCGAGCCCACCCTGATCTTGGCCTGGAGCCTCCCCATGCAACAGCACGAGCCAGGGGCACAGACGCCCGAGTGCGAGGTGTGTGGGGAGGGCTGTGGAGACGGGAGGAAATGGTTGCCCATCCCCAGGCCTCTGGCCTCCTAGTTGGCACCGCAGCCCTCCTGCAAGACAGAGGTCATCTCCTCGTGCCAACCCAGAACAGCACACGTGAGCCCCATGCAGAGGCCCTGGGGACCCCGAGAGGACTTGACGGCGCAGAGAGTGGACCACATCGGCCGTGACCAGAGGCTGGCGGGGGAAGGGCGCCCTCGGTCAGCTGTCCTTGCAGAAGCAGGTGGACTGTGGGCCACAGCCCCGGGGGTCGCCTCAGCTGTGCCCTTGTTAGAGCACCGGGAGAGCCAGGGGGCCACAGGGTGTCAGATTTCCCAGCCACAGGCCATGTATTCACTGCAGGAAAACACTGAGCAGGTGGTGGGATACAGACTGGAAGGACCACGGCTGGACAGGAGTGACACGCAGGCCAGGCCAGGCTGTGCACAACCCTGCGGGCCCCACCCTCACCCAATGCTGCAGGACAGACATTCCCAGGATGTGGTGGGCACAGCGGGCTGGAGGGACGACCCACAGCATGGGTGTGTGTGGGTGCCAGGCGCGTCTCACCTAGACAGGTCCTGCCGTCCTCTCCCAGCACATAGGGGTCCGAGCACTTGCACAGGAAGCCGCCCTGGGTGTTCTCGCAACGGGCCGAAGCATGGCAGGGAGGTGCCCCCGGGTCCTCACATTCGTTGATGTCTGCACAGACAGGACAGGTCAGCTGCCCACCCACCGGCATCCCCCATGGCCCCTCCAGGAAGAAAAGAAGCCCAGGTCAGGGACTGGCACGTTCTGGTCTCCCTGTCCCAGGAGTCCACGAGGAAGGTGTGGCCCCTGGGGTCCCCAGACTCCTGGATCAACGTGCACAAAGACCGAGGCCCCACGCACCTGGCCAGGCTGCTTTGCTGTCCTAGAAGGGCTGCAGACTGTACCCCAGGCCCAGCCAGCTCGGAGCATCCACGGAGATGCCCCCCTTACCTAAGCACACTAGGCTGACTGGAAACCTTACTCTGCCCAGTAGACACAGAGACATCAATTTGTACCCATCTGTCTCATAACCTCTTGGAGAAAGGCCACAGACACGTGGCTTTTACCCATTTTCAATTCCTGACTTTAAGGCTTTCAGGCTAGTTTTTTGCTAGTTTCACTTGCGAGTTTTTTCCTTCCATCTGATTTTTATGTGGATGGATTTGAGCAAGTAGGAGTAGGACCGGAGTGGAGTAGAGACAACGCACCTCCCTTGGTTTTGTGTATCAGTTAAGCC